TATATGTGGAATGTATTACTTGAGCTTTTGATTGAGGTTGACAGGCTGTTCCAAATTTTAGTACCTCTGTAAGAGAAACTCTGTTGACGAGTGGCAGTTCTACTCTTAGGGATTTGTAGGTCACCTTTCTTTCGAGTGTCCCTTGAGTGAACATCAGAACGCTTGACAAACATAGACGAGAGGTAATCAGGAGCCAAGGAGTCCATGCATTTAAACATTAGCAATGCATCTCGTAAGTACAATGTGTCCACAACAGGTGATAACTTAAGTTGCTTCAATGTTGGAGTTATGTGTTCGTACTTCCTTCTCCCAGACAGAATACGCGCCGCCAAGTTTTGTACGAGTTTTGAGATGTTACTCTTCCTAGTGCCTACCCCGCGAGCAGGTAAAGGAGACTCTGCTCGCAGGGTAACTAGTGCCTGACCATACACAGGAACAGTAGTACAGCTTGCTGAAAACAAGAGAATTTATGACAATGGACAGACTAGACGCATCTAACAGATGGCGGATCCTGCTGATGATGGACAATTTACCCAAAACTGCGTTTTGTCTGGATTTATCATGAGGGAATTATCGCTACACCATGCAGGCAGCAAGTCTCAGTAGATCATCAAGTCCCCAAGGCCTTTGGAAGATTCCCCTTTAGAAAATGTGATGTATAATTTGGAATCATCAACATAGGACTCACACACAGATGGTAAATCATTTATATAAACATTAAATAACAATGKACCCAGTATTGAGTCTTGAGGTACCCCATGTTTTAACACCAGAGGACTGGATAGAGAGGTGTTAATACGTACACGTTGAACTCTGTCGGAAAAATAGCTTCTGAACCACTTCAATACTGTAGAGGAGACACCAAGAAGTTTCACAAGTAATCTTTCATGGTCAATGCTATCAAACGCTTTGCTAAAGTTAAGTAGTACTGCTGCGGTGATCTTCCTTTTATCAGTCGCTCTATACAATTGACTTGTAAAGTAGATTCCAAGCATTTCAGTGGGGTGAAGCTTCTTGTTCCCGCTCTGATGGGGTGAGAGCAACGCGTTGGAACTCAGGTAGCTAGTTATCTGGTCATGCAAAAATCTCTCAACAACTTTCGACACCGCAGGAAGTAGGGATATCGGTCTATTGTTGCTGGCTACTTCACAATCCCCTTCTTTGAGGTGTGTAATAACGTCAGCTGTTTTCCAGGTTTTATGGAAGATTCCACCACAAAATGATTCATTGATCAAATCGGTGAGAACTTGGATGATGTGAGGTAGACCAATTTTGATCACCCTCATACTGAACTTGTCATGACCAGGGGATTTGTTTGAAGCCATTTGCATGATGGTGTCTCTGACTTTAGTGACAGTAACGCGCTGAAAATTAAATGGAGGAGAGATTGCAGCTGCAGCTAAATTCAGGATTCAAAGGCAAAGAATCATTGGACTGTACGTTGAAATCAGTTTCTGAGTTGGCCAGTTGCTGAGCCTTTTGGGAAGCTTTCTCTCCTACAGAAGAGAAGAACGTGTTGAAGTCATTTGCAACCTCCACACAGTCACGTGAATGTGGCAAATAGGAGGTATCAGAGGGGTTGAGACATCGTCGGACAGTTATAGACGTCATGTTTTCTTTATTGTTCGTTATTTCATCTCTAAGATAGTTGGTTTCTGCTGTTCTAATCCTCGCTTTAACATCAGCTTCCCAATCTCCAGGGTTACAGGAGTTACGGGCTATTCGATGTAGACTATCGCGATTAGATTGTTCATAAGTGCCTTTAAATCCGCAGTGATAAATGGAGTTGAAGTATGTCTAACGTTGAAGGTTCTTATAAGAGCATGCTGGTCCAAGACCCGAATGAAAAGACGGTTTAAGCAATCTAACTTGTCTTCAAGCTCATCAAACAGGCTGGTAACATCCCAAGGAACTATTGCAAGGTGACTAGCAAAGGATTCCGCATTGAAATTCTTGTAGGACCTTGTAGTGATCGCGGTTGGCTTGCCTCTGGCTGAGAGTTCTTTCTCCCCAGGCTCACCCTTTTCTCCTTTTGGGCCAGCGTCACCCTTTGGACCCTGAGGACCAGTGTTACCGGCTGTACCAGGAGCTCCGGGAGGTCCTTGCTTGCCTGGAGTCCCGTGAAACCCTCGAGGACCTTGTTTACCTTGAGTACCTGGTCCGCCATCTCGTCCGTCTCGTCCAGGAGCACCGGGTGTACCGTGGAGTCCAGGGATACCAGGACGACCCGCCAGACATGAAAAATCTGATCTGGGCTAAAAAAGGTGATTACCATAGTTTAATTATGGGTTCGAAACTGATGGAAGTGTGCATCATTTGCAAAGAAACGCACGGGCTGACTGTAAAATTAACGACCCGGCCGAGTATTTTGTATTCATTGTACAGTCAGCAAGCTTGGTATTTAGTACGAGCCATTGCGAGGTTTAGAAAAAAAAGAACTGGTTCGAGTTGCATTGCAATGCAATGTGGGAACTGATTTATGGGACTAAATGGCAACTTGGAAATATGTCCCCCAAAACAGACCCAGCGCCAGGGGCGGCGGAAGCTGAAAAATTTTGGGGGGGCACTCCAATATTTTACGGTACCCTGAAATGACCCCCCCCCCCCCTCTCCCTGTTTAGCTTGATTACAAACGTGTATGCGTGATATTTCAATCAGTAATGATTTTGCGCGCATTAAACCACTTGCAATTGTGCTGAGAGACACAAAAATGATGCAAGTCGTCGCTAGATATATCGTATATTTTTTTAGATACAAAAAATTATGTAATATCAAAATAATAAATAATGGTAATCATAACCAAATCTCATGCGTTTTTGTGTGAGGCATTATATTCTGGGGGGGCAAGGCCCCCCCAAAAAATCTAGTGGGGGGGCCAGTGCCCCCCCGGCCCCCCCGCTTCCGCCGCCCATGAACGCGTATTACATTGTCAAATTCAACCAGTTTTTTCATCGACTTTGGAATGGCCAACTTCAGAGGAGGATCCACTAGTATCCTAGAATGCAGTGCAACTGGGATATTTAAAAAAATTCGTTTAAACAGCTAAAATTAATATTTTCGAAATTAAAAAATTGAATTGCACATAACTAGAGTGTATGTAATACCTTTTAGCGATATCTATTTCTAAATTCTTCAAGAGATTTAAATATACTCGTCAAAAGACTGGAACCCTTTTTGAGTAATTTCAGACGTTCAGTACACATCCTACAACTGGMTACTTTTGTTTGCAAAATTAGTCATGTCTTTATGAAATACTAAAGCAAAGGACCGTTAAAAAAAGATTCAAATAAACATGTGAAATCCAAAGAAAACAATTAAAAGCGAGGTCTGCTCTAACTTTATGTTCTTAGATTTTTATGTCTCTTAATCTGTGCCTTTACAATATACAACTATGGCCATTTTTTCGCAATTGACAGACCAAAAAAAAAACATAAGCAAAGATAGCAATGTTACAAACTAATACATACAGAGTTTAATGTTACCAGGTACACAAAGGTTCTAACCAATAATGTGCTTGAATTAAAAATAGCATCAAAGACTCTAAAAATAGCATCAACGAGTGCTCATGATGGGGTGCGGGGATTCCTTCTCTTTGTTAATTCTCTCTTTGTATGAAGTACTTCATATTCTTTTGCAAAAAAAAAGAAAAAAAAAAAAAAAAATTAACAGAATTGTCTGTGGTCACATATGTTTGTATAGCTCTTATTTTCTTGTTTCAATTATTACCAATCTTATATTATTTTATTATTATAATTATCGGGTATTAGTTTAGAAGGAACACAATCAAAACTAAAATAATTGATTATTGTGATGAAGTAACTAGGTTTTCACACTATATAAGAATATATGAATAAATAAATGAATTAGAAAAATTTAATCTGAAACCATTCAATTTTATAACTCTAAACAAAACCAGTAGATACCTGTCTGGCTGGCTTGTTTTTCTGTCCACACGCCTGCTTGATGGCGGGAGAAACGATTACAGCCAAGGACACGAGTAACACGACGACGACGAACCTCATTTCGGTACTGTGAATGAAAATCCGGTGAAAGAGATAAGAAAAGATTTACAAATTGTTCCTGGGCCTTGTTCAACGCTCTATCCTTAACAACATAATTTCTTTAAACAACTTAAAACTATTATAATTAAGAAGAACAAAATCAAAAAGCATTGCGCTTGATACATAAAACGATGGGCTATTTTATCACAACTGAAAAAAAATCAGCATTCTCGTTTATGGCATGCGTTGCTACGTTCATGTATCTTACACTGTGTCTTTAAAATATGACGACTYGCTGCTCAACAGAACCGCATGCGTGAGTTGAATTTGTTTGATTTGGTTCTTTCCCTCGCCATGAATTTTTTTTGAATTAAGAGTTGTATCGAATAAAAATAGGGTATCGAATAAAAAGTCAATATGTACGTTAGTGAAAAGTGGGCAAACATTGAATCCAGTATATATAATGATAGCCATGGATTGTTATCTTTCAGTTTCTTTTCTCGTTCTCCCGACTCAGTAATAGAAAACCCGCGTCGTTCTGGGACAGTTATCTATTATGCCTAAAGGTTCCAAAATCCGTTTCCCAAAAACGATACAGTAATTCGTCGGGGTTTTTTTCGTTTTGTTTTGTTGTTGTTGTTGTTATTGTTATCTTAAAAACCCTTAACAAGGCATTCTTAGATAATGAGCAATAAATATCGTCAAGTTACTTAAACACTCTTTCAAATATGACTCGTATTTCTCCACCAGGCGATCATATTTAGCTTACATTGCTATATAAATTAATTATCAGGTCGAATAAAAAATGAAATTCCCCATAACTTACGAGTAAGATGTCTCGTAGTGAAGTGTGTATCCTTGCTCAATGATGTCCTAACAGACAATGGCCTTCACTTAGCTTCATCTTAGCTTCACAATTTTCAACTTGTGGTCATTTTTACTTTGTTGTAACAAGTTTTCCATCACTGTTTGTTTAAGGTAAAGACTAAATACAAACACCGTTGATGGTTTGTCCCATACACTTCATTAAACAGCCGCGCCCATTGGTTACTATATTTGGAACTACGTTTTTTAATTTACAACGCGGAAAAAGTGTATAATATATCAATTAGTAATGCGGTAAATTTGAAGTCTAGAGAGCAGAATGTCGGAATATTTGCAATTTTTCGATAATTTTAGCTTTTGTTTTTTACCCCGTATTACCCCACAGGAAGCCCAACCAAGTTATCAGACGTTGTGTAGATTTTTTTCGTTTTGGAGGGGGGTGCATTATCCATCATTATAGATGAAAGACAATTTCATCCTTCTAGAATACAACTTCGCAAAATTAATTGAATACAGCATAAAAAGACCCGCATAAAAGAACCGCTATTTTCCCAAGTCAAGCTGTAAATGGTTGTTATATCATTAATTGGCATCTAGTGAGAAATCAGGCTGAGTAGGTTTTTAACAATACTAGTTTCTTATTTAGAAGCCAAAAAACAATAGTTCCTGATAGGGTGTTTTTATCTAGACCTTTGGTTGAGATTTTGCAAATGGAGGTCCCTTTTTGTATGGTCTGTACTCTTATCGAACAGGGAATGGTGCAAGCATATGATCCAAACTCAAGTGGAACCACGAGCGCAGCGAGATCAGTCTTAGCTATGTTCTTTTCTCTGATAAAGCACTCGTGAAGCTGTAGAACACTCAAGTTATAGAAATCACTCACCTACTTCCCGTGATTCCATAACGTTTTTCGTGTCCTACAGCTTCAGGAGTGTCTTATCAGAGAACAGAACATAGCTAAGCCTGATCTATTCGCTTTGTTCATTCTTGTTTGACTATGAAAAATGTTTCAAATTATTTTTTTACTTCTCTTACACCATCACCGGTCAAGCAAAAAGCTTCTAGTTTGAGTGAAATAAGGTCATTGTAATAGTCGCAGTACAAACGAAAGAAAGCTTTACTCGTCGAAATGTAGTACCAATCAAAAGTGCTTCAAAACGACATATTTTCCTTTTTTAGAGCAAAGACGTAATTTTTAATAAAAACAAGACCCTGGTGGCAGGGTAGACCGGGTTTCCTGGTTTCAGAGCCTCTAAGAATCAAAAGGAGAAGTGGAAAAAAGTCGCGAAGTTTCGAAAGACGGTGACAGAGCTACTAATGTACAATAAAATCCAAATTGGGTAAAACGTTTATCACATAATTTCATAATAATCGGGAAAAAATATCCAGTTTCAATTCCAGCAGTCCAGCAGGTTCGTCAACCCGGAATTCGGATTTTCGCATACGCAATTATGTCAGAGAGTAGACATTCTGTCTCCACGCACGCAATTTAAAAAATAAAAAGATAAAGAAAATCAAAACTCAAATTTTTTTTTTTTTTTTTCAATATTTGCCTGGTGTTTTTTGTAGTAGCTTTCAGAGCCAAAATACCTTATGAAAATACCTTAATAAAATATAGCATCAAATGATCAGAATCGGGTCAGCTTGCAAAATAATTTAAAATTCGAAGCTCATTAACACGACTAGTTTATCCCTTAGAACTGATCTTCGATTACAGAAAATACTGCTTCGAATAGCTGAATCAAAGCATGATGGTTAACCACAATAATCTATTGCCCATTAGAAATCCTCGCTTAGAAGCCATTAACATCTTACTTAAAAAATCCTTGTTTACGATTACGATGGTTAATTAATATTTCTAGTTCGGCTGTCTGAATTACAGCAGTCAACAAAATAGAGCATGCGTAAACACAAACTTATGTCACGTGATGTGCTAGCTCCGCCCTCTCATCGTCACTTAGCAACATAGTGACATTGATGACAGGTGGTACAAGCTAATTATAGCAGAAGCCCGCAAAGGTCTCTGTAAGGGTAAGGACCTGGGTAGTATTGCAATATTTGTCCATTTTGTCGTGGAGGAAATCATAGAAAAAAGCCAAGATATTTTATGAGCGGTTTACCACAGGTAATCCGCTAATAAATAAGTATTTTAAATTTAAAATGTCAAAATGCTTTGGATTGAAAAACTGAATTTCTGTGACGTCGTTTTTATGTTTAATTTTGTATCGAAARCATGGTTTAGACGTCATATCTTTTATGTTTCTATATCTGATAAAATAGTATCCTTTTCTCTAGTAAAATTAGCTTACCTTTGCAAGTTTAGTCTCCTTTGCAGCCGTCAGTCTTTAGTGGGAAAGGACTTTAGGACCGACAGTAAAGTCTACGATAAGATTTGATTTAGACCACTCCTATATGAAAATACTAAATGGCTGGCAGTTTCATTTTTTCCCCATGGATTTTCCTCTGCTAGTTTTCAATTTGACGGATTTGGGTAGACAGGAATAGGTTAGTCAAAGACTTCTATTATTTCAAAAAAATCAATAAGAAAAACTGAAAAAAGAGCAAAAGCGTAAGCAGGTATTATGTTTAGGTCACCCATCCAAGTGCTAACCCTCCTCAGACGAGCTTGACTCAGTATCTTKAACGACAACGATTTATCCACTGGACCACGGTTCTAGGTGAATCAGCATAACAATAGCCGTGAAAACAAT